AGTTGCGGTTGTGTTTTTGGATTGCATTGTTAGAAAGTATCGAGTAAAGAACACACTACTCAGTAAGGTGTTTTGTTTGCTATATATCAACGAAGAACAGTGGTGTTTTGCGTCGTAATATTTAACTCCTTTTAATTTTCATAGAATAAATGTTATGGAGCAGCGTGGTGTTTGCGATCGACTGAAGGAAATACCTCTGCAAAACGCCGAAAATCACGTGTATAGGCACGCATCAAATCAACAAACTCGAAACACAACATACAGGAATATACAATATTGTTATTTGTTATGGAGTAGGAAAAAGGTACAGTCGATTGAAATTACTTTGGAGTGAAATGACTCTTTCATTATTTGGTTTCGTGACATGCTTTATTTTACATATCAGATAAAATAATATGAAGATGACACATATGAACATCGGAATGTCAACCGGCTCCGATTGAATCGGCAAAGTTTTTATCGTAATCGGAAACGGCAACTGGTGCCTATAGATCGGTACCGATTCCGATCAATCGGAAAATTAATCGGGTCCGTTTCCCATGATCGGGTTCCCTACCGATATTTGGACGCGTTCCCTAAAAATGAAATGGATTGCTAAGAATACGTTTAGCAGGATACGAAGCTTCCCATCCTGTTTTGAACTTTGTCTTTGCCTGATGAATTTTCATTTCCCACCATTTTGACATCGTGTTCGAGACGTATTTAAATGCGACAAACTGGTAATGATAACCTTATTTGGCATTTATCTTGTCAACAAGACGATCAAATATGATGAATGGAGATGAATATGCCTGAGAACTGTGGATTTCTACATAATTGACGCATGAAAATCAATTTTTCGAAGCAAAAAGTTTAAAAAAGTGTATTCGATCGGCTTGTGAATCTGTTTACCGTGAGATTTTTGTGCCTCATTGTGAGAGCATGAGATTGTCCTCAAAACTGTGAGACTTGAGAGGTCTGCTCTTGGATGGGAGGAGGGTTGTCCAATGCTCTGACAAATTTATGCATGGCATTGTATTGTCATAAAAATTCTGTACAAAAGTATAAGAATAAAGAACAAAAATACAATGAGAAATTAAACAAAGCCATGCATAAGTTTGTCGGAGTGTTGGACAAGTATGGGTGGTTGGGGGGGGGATATGTATACATGTCCCTAGTCTGAATTTCAAATACGGTCATTTCCCAGGCCTGGTCATTTCCCATTTTTGAGGAGTAGGCCATGTTCCTCTGCCTGGTTGGTATTTACCCATGTTGCAATTTTTGCAATTTCATCTAGCCTTATGTTGCTTTTTCAAGGCCATGTTGCTAAAAAATGTGTAATAATAGGCGGCACATATGAAGCTCCTCAGAGATCTCAGGTATTAAACTTATTATAACAATTATTATTCCTCGAGCCTGAATGGGCTGTGAGTCAATAGCCCATGAGGCTGAAGGCTGAATAGGTATTGACTCAGAGGCCATGAGGGCGAGAGGAGTAATTGTTGTAGTAAAATCCAACTACATGTGGTTGGTCAAAAATATCAAGACAAAGCAACTTAAGCTAGTTAAGGCCAGACTTGAAGATAGAATCCATCAGGAAATTGAGTAATTTTAATTTTCAGTGGACAAAAATCGTGTACCAGAACAATTTACATTTTTGAGGGCTAAAGATGTAATAAATCATGTGTAGTAACACCAAAGAAAATTTCTTATGGAAGTCTGAGAAAATAAATGGCAAATTTCACAAGAATTGTGATTATACAGGTAAAATTCTAAAAATTTCAGGTGTAAGATGTAATTTTGTGGAAATTGACATTCATTTTCTCGGGCTCACATGAGAAATTTTTTGGTGTTAATACAGATGATTTATTACATCTTTAACCCTTTGAAAAAATGTAACAAAAAATGTAATATGCTTTAAATTATTCTGGTACAAGATTTTTATCCACTGAAAATCAAAATTACTCAATGTCCTCGTCAATTCCGTCTTAATCCTTTTTGCTACTAGTGGGCTATAACATATAGCCTAGTAGTAGCCCAACCAATCAGAATGCAGCATTGATAATAGACCGCTAGTTGGATTTTACTATTTTAAGAATAATATCTTACCCTTTGGGTAAGCTGATTTTCCTACAATGGTAGAGGTGTGCTGCTGAAGCCTTTAAAACCTGTATTATTTTTTCAATCCTATGCTTGTCTTGACACTGTCGGTGAATTTCAGGATCTTCTCTTTGTTTTTGCATATATCTGAGATCTGCTGCTTGCTGATGTTAAACTTGAGGACTAAATTTGTTCCCTTGTCACTTTTCTCCAAATGTGAAAATTATAATGGTTTGCTTTCATTTATCGAAATAACAGACTGCTTTCATTGCATAGACATGGCAGTGATTTGAGTTTATGACCGAACCAATGTGGAATCAAGCATGACATTCTCTTAGCAACATAACAATTGAGCATATCAGAATTCACTCTGAATAATTGTTCATCTTGTGCCGCTTGTGCTTTTTCAAAGCAAAACAGATTAGGATTAATGAACTTTTAATTGTTTCAATTTTTCAAGATCACATCTTTAATTAACCCTTTTAACTCTAACATCAAAATTTAAATTCTCATTTGTTGCCCCTATTCATTCCTACAGAAGTAGAAGGGAGAAGTTGATAGAAACAAATATCAAGCAAATTCATCTTGTATGATCACGTCTGTAATTGTAGTGCAAGGCTGCTGCCTAAGAAAATTAGAAGTAAAAGTTAGGAGCCCAAGCCGCATTTATAGGAGCCCAATTAAAAAAGATCAGTAACTTTATTAACCCTTTGGTGACGGCCATCGAGTAGCGAAAAAAACGCATTTTTCACCACTTCCTCTTCTTTGGACTGGTTTTCAGCTAATTAGTATAACAAAGGCTAAGAAACAGTTTTGCAAGGAAAAAGGCATGTTTTTCGACTAATCTGACGTAATTAAACAGCTTTTTTGTTTTTCACTCATGCGCAAAAGCCAAAATTTGGACCTGTTTTTGCGAATCTATTTCAATCTTTCTCTCTTGCTCTCTTTTTTCCCTTTGCCTTTCTTGTTTATTAGCAGTTTTTTAGGTGATAAAAAGGACCAACAAAAGTTTTTATCTGGAAGTTTCGAAAATTGACTCATTATTTTTGTATCAAGTCTATCTTTTGAACTATCACACCTTTTTTTATATATGTGAAGGTTTGTATTTACGGGCATCGCACCTAACAGTGTAAATTAAAAAGAGACTGAAATATGATCTTGAATAGCCACTGTGAATTATTTTTAAAAACTGGAATGTTTTTGCGAGCCTTTCAAAAGTTCTCACAAAACGTACAGCAAGAAATAAAGAAGGCATAGATAACGCTGAATAAATAACAAAAGAAACCTCCAAGTGTACTGTTTGTGTTCTTAGCACGATAGAAAACGCTACAAACTTGCAAAGTTGTTAGCATACCAATGTCATGTGTAATTTGAAACCAGCTTGCTTTTCCACAGATCGCGACTTTTTCTCAGCTTTTACTTCATTCAGTAGCGACCTAACATTTCTAACGCTGAAGGAAAAGTCATGATTTTATTATCGAAGGTTTTTCAAAGACTATTAAATTATTTATTTGACACAGATGAGAAACTTCAACTACTCTGCAGCAGTAGTCACAGAAGCGAATTTCAAGACATAAGTGCTGTTTGTTTTATACCTTTTATCAGCGGTAATATATTTTTGCCTATGGCTGACAATCAAACGATGTTTTCCCTTGTTGTTTAAAAAGTGCAGAATAAGCAGGGAATTTTGTTGTTTGTTCACTGGAAGTTAGCCTGAGAATAATATGTTTTAGGTGCCTGTTCAGGCTTCCTGTTTGAAATTTTGGTCGCCCAATGGTAAATCGTAGGTGCCGCTGGCAACCGGGCACCCGTTAGGCAGCAGCCTTGCTAGTGACCACTCTGTTTTACAAGGCATTCATATTACAAGGAGAAACTCGATGCTGATCACTCTTAGGGCTTATTTTAAAGGGTAAATATTCATGAAAAACGGAACCAGCAAAACAAGTGTGTATAAATGAAAAGTCCAGATAATCAAGGTTCAACCGTAACCCTGATTAGTTAGGTGTTGCATACAGAATTAGGTAATTTTTTCATACTAATTTCATGGAACCTGCAGCCTTCACACGTACTCTTTTAAAGGCTTCCAGTTCAAAAACACTCCCTGTTAAAGACGCCAAATATTGGGGAAGACTAAAGACCCTGAAAACCATACCCTGTACAGCGCAACATCCCTGTCTAGACCTAATGAAGAAGTATCTCCACCCCGGAAATGGAACCCCCTAGTAAAGTCAATTCTGGCCATGTGAACACCTTGCTTTTATGGACACCTTGATAATAAGGATGTAAAAGCAGTTAAATTTCCATTCAAACTACAAATTATGGACTCTGAACCTGACCAACTGACCTGACATGAGATATGGTGTCTAAAAAACTCTTATACAAGTTCCGTTCTTTAAAATGCTACGCCAAATCAAGTTAATTTTTGTCAATTTTTCTTTTAGTGGTTGACAACCTTGCATCACATATTTGAGATTCTTGGTGCAGTGGAATAGAATGGCAACCTGCAAAACAACTCACAGGAATGACTGTTGGATAACAAGATCAGCAAGAGAAGGCGACCCTGAAGACAAGGTAAACAACTCTCCTAATTTTGTTAGAGTGAATAAATCGCTAATCAAGTCGAGAATCAAGACTCGCAATGGACTGTCCAAGTTCAAGTTCAAGTTCATGTATTCACACTTATTCAAATACAATACAACAACAATAAGAAAAAAAAAAAAGAAGACGTAAAAACAGAGCTAACTATACATTGAATTAAACATAACAAAGGAAAAGAGTGTGTAGCAGCCTAAGAAGCCAAGCTTTCGAGTTGGCTACTACCACTGAGCGGTTCCAAGTGGCTGGAGGTTATACAGTACTTCTAAAAAACTATTTAAATGAAATAATTAGATAAATAGCGCTAAATAACAGATTAGAGTTGTTCAAGATGCCTGACTGTCAAGTAGAAAGAGTTTATATTCTTTTTTAAAACTGTTCGAGGGGAGACACTTAATTTTCATAGGTGTTGCTTCCCAGGTCTGTGATGCATCTACACTAAACCTTGCTAGGCCATAATTAGTTCTGGAAAACGGTCCGCACAGGTTTTGATTAGTGGCATACCTAGTATTATAATTATGGACAGCTGAAGGGGGTTGAACTAAGTCATTAAGGGCAGGAGGTGTATCCTTTTTTTGATATTGAATTTTATGCACAAGAGCGCCAATTTTTAATTTAAAGATATTCTCTAACTTTAAGATTTCTAATAGTGTAAAGTATGGTGTGGGACTTTCTCTTTTGTTTGCAAAGAAGATGCAGCAAATACAGATATTTTGACTTACTTTGATTTTATTTAACTTATTTTGGTATGCAGTACCCAAGCTCATTAATCCATACGTTAGATACGGATATATGAGAGTATAGTACAGTTGTTGGAGTGTACTTATAGGCACATAATGTCTAAGCTTAAATAAAATTCCAGTGTTTTTTGTGATTTTGTTGTTAATGTGCTGGAGCTGAGCATCCCATTTCAGATGTTCATCAATAAAGACACCCAAATATTTAATCTTGGACTTTTGCTCTATGTTACAAGCTGTTATTCTGATATTTGTTTTCTTTTTAGGTGAAGTAATTATCATGTAATTAGTGTTCTTGAAGTTAATGGACAGCATTATTTGCTGCACAGAATTTTAAGACCTTTCCAAGTTCTTCATTGATAACTGATTGTAATTGTTCTGGGTCTTTTGAAGAATAAAACATATTTGTATCATCTGCAAAAATCCTAAAAGTTAATTTCTTCGGAGACCTGGGCAAATCGTTAATATACAATAGAATCAGCAGTGGACCTAGTGTGCAGCCTTGAGGTACACCACATGTGATGGTTTTCAGGCTAGATTCTCTATTACCAACTTTGACATATTCATTATTGCTTATGATTAGTTATATAGCTTGAAAACCATGCATGGGGGAGTCCTCGGATCTCATACTTATGTAATTTTTCTAAGAGAATATGCTGGTTAATTGTATCAAAGGCCTTGGAAAAGTCTAAAAAGATACCACATGTTATTTTTTGATCATTAACTGCTGACTTTAATTTTTCCACAGTTTCTAGAATGGCATATTCAGTGGAATATCCCTTTCGAAAGCCAAATTGGAAGTTAAAAAGTAGACATTCTTTTTCCAGGTAGGACACAAGTTGGTCATATACTAGTCTTTCCAGTACTTTACCAAAGGGAGAAATAACTGCTATCGGCCTGTAATTCCCTAACTCAGATAGACTACCACTTTTAAATATTGGGGTTACTTTTGATATCTTAAAGATTTTTCCCCTGATAATAATATTGGCTCATTATATATTGCAGTAAAGGATGCAGAGAGCTGTTCACTTGCAAGTTTAAGAAGCTTGTTAGGAACAATAAGGGATGCGTTGTTTTCTTTTAGCCCAGCAAATAATGTAAATACTTGTGTTTGGGTTACTGGAGCAAGGTAAAAACTGTTTGATGGCGTAGATTCTATATATTGCAAAGGGTCTGTATGATCAGTTTTGATTTCCTTTGCTAAAGTTGCCCCAATGTTTGCAAAGAAGTTATTGAATAATTCGGCAATGTCCCGTTCTTGTGTAAAAGTCCTGTTATTGTGAGTGATTCTCGTGGGGAAAGTTTGACCTTTGGTTTTCCTTTCAACAAGAGTACCAATAAGTTTCCAAGTTTGCTTAAGGTTGTCTTCGTACTTTGCAAATTTCATGTTATAGTATTCTGTCTTACTTTTATTCATAAGATGTGAAAGAATAGCTGCATAATGTTTATATTCCCCGATTTTTTGTAAGTCCTTGCTTAAGAAAAATTTAATGCGTACGGTACATTTTCTGTTTTTAAGATACCCTTAGTGAGCCATGGCTTTTTAAGTTGCCTTTGGTTGCTTTGGCTAGCCAGCTTGATAGGCGCATGTTTGTCTACAATTTTATTCAGGGTATTGATTGCCTCCTGTAGCTTTTCGTTTAGATTCTTTTCTGGGTTGAGGATTTCGTGCCAATCAATCAGTTTTATATCATCTAAGTATAGATCTTTATTAAATTTAGAGTAGTCTCGAAAATATTTTTTGTTACTATTATTCCGTGTAGGCTGGGTTCTGACTAAGAAGAAAATCGGAAGATGATCTGTTATATCAACTGTCAAGATTCCTGCTGTGAAATTTTGTAAACAATTTGTATATATATGGTCAATGAGTGTTGCTGTGTGATCAGTAAGCCTCGTAGGTTTAGTAAGGATCGGCAAGATGTTATTGGCATAAAGCACATCTAAAAACTCTTCAGTTTGAGTGTGTTCATTGAATTTCAGGAAATTTATATTCATATCTCCAAAGATGTAAATTTCGTGTCTGTTGGGATTAATTGTTTTGATTTTATCATTTAGTTGATTGTGAAACTGTTCTAACATTACAAGTGGGATGCTTGTAGATACTAGACTACAAGTAGTCCCCCATTTGTCCTCAGGGATAGTAGAGCGAGCGAAACGCGAGCGCGCGTGAAAATCACCCCACGCGAGAAAAGGCCACACGCAGCGGGGAGAGAGTCGCCTTTCTCCCGTGGGGTGATTTTCACGCGCGCTCGCGTTTCGCTCGCTCGAATATCCCTGAGGACAAATGGGGGACTACTCGTAGTCTATATAGATACAACCTATTATGATCTTCTTTTACGCAATGTACCTTCACCAGCATCAATTTCTGCCCAGCAGGATTCAACTAGCGCTACGTCAAATTTAATATCAGGCCTAGGTACAACTTTAAGATTATTAGCTATATATAAAGCAGCTCCACCTGCGTTTGTTGGCGAGTCCGTGTGAAAAAAATTATAGCCTTTGATATTTACATTAGAAATAGACTTTTCACCTAATTTAGTTTCTGTAATTCCAAGTATATCCAGCTTGGAGTCAAGGGAGCATAATATTTCTTCTAATAGATTTAGGTTTTTAGATAAACTTCTAACATTATAGTGAAGAATTGAAAAAGATTTTGCGTCTGAATTTACAAGCATTTTATTAAAGCCACGGACTGAATAACATTCTGAGCAAGGGGTATTTAACATTAAATCTGGGTCGCACTCGTCGAATTTATTTGGATTTGGGAGGAGATCGTAAAGGTCAAGATCATGACGCCTATCCGGCCAGCTGCCAACCATAGCATGAAATTCTCTATTAGTTAAATCATAAAATGGTCAACAACCACTTACGTTTTCCTGGTAATCAGCCATTTTTCCCTCCGTAATAATATAAGTTTATAGAAGTCATTAAACTGATAGCTAATTAATTGAGCTCGTCAAGAAACTCTTCGAATTCCCCATGGGTTACGAAACATTTCGTAGTGGAGCTCTCCGTTTTCTTCAGTATTATTTTACCGTTAGCCGTCCAAATAAACTTGTAGTTGTGGTCGCGCTTGAATTGTAAGATTCTGCCCAGTAGTCGTTTTCTGTATGGCGTTAAGCTTTCACTGACATGAATTTGTGCTGTATGACTTACAACCGCAGATTCCGGCTCGCAGACCATAGACGGGAGATCTTTAGTCCGCTTAAGTTTTTCCTCTAGTCTTGCTGTAAATTTCGTCTCTTTTCTCTCTACGAGTGAACTTGACAATTAGTCGGTCTTTCACTTTCTTCGTTGGTGGTGAACAATGAGCGATCGATATATCGTTTTCGTTGAGGTTCACTCCCATAATCTCAGACATTTCCTTCACCAGCAAAGCAGGGCTGTCATTAGGTACGACCGGAATACCGGTTATTTCGAGACAGTCTCTTCGCGCGTACTGCTCGAGTTCATCCAAGTTGACCTCGACATTAAAACCATCGTTGCCGAGCTTGTTTATGTCTTCCTTGATACCTTTAATTTGGCTTTTCACGCCTTCGTTGTGTTCTTTTACGTGACTGCCCTTTTGTGTCCTAAATACGAAGAAAAACGCGTTGCCGATTATGAGTCTCGCTGCTTGCGCAAGCGAGACTAATAATTTCTCTTGTTTTAAGGAAGTGTTTTCTCTTTTCAGCAACAAACTGCAGAATGGGTGAAAGCTTTCCGTGACACCAACATCCCTGTTCGAATGACTTCTCGGTGACCGGAGACTTTGGGAGACCCTGTGAAGATAAGGGACTGGAACAAGCTGGGCTACCAACTGACAGTTTCTCTATTCAGAATGGTATCATTATCAGGTAATAATATTATTAAAACCTGAATCATTGAATAATGCAATTCTGGAGCTCTGATTGGCTTAGCCATTATGGTATATGAGCCATTATGCCATGCTCTCCAAATATGGTAACCATACGCGTCTGCTCAAAATTAAAAACAAAGTGATAATCGGTTGTTTTTACAAATAAAGTCGGGAAGAATTCTCGATATTTTGTGGGCGTTTTTAATAAAGCAATTATTCCACTGGCGCTTGTTTGGATATGAAATGATTACAGCCAACGTGCACTCGTGGAATAATTGTTAATTAGAGGTGTCCGGTCAGAGCGAATCACCTGTATATAGGTTTCGTCCTTACTGTTTTAATGTGCGCTGGTGCATGTTTTTGCGTTACAGGACGTCCAGTTTGCCGCTCTGAGCCACCTCACGGGAGAATGCAACTACAGAGGCCGTGTAACGTGATGGACGAACCCCGTTGACAATCCAGGATAAGTTCTACTGCGCGGCCATCATAGACAATAAAGACTACAAGTTTTCGCCAAGAGGCAGCTACTTTGCTCCTAAAGAAGGCGACTACGCATCGTACATGGAGTTTGGACGCAGCCTTCAGCTCATTGCGCGTCTTGAGGTATTTGGAATGCACGACAAATGCAGACATCAGTAAGAACCAACAGGAAACCCAACAGTTGTTCAACAGCATCCTTTTGACGCAGTCTTGAGCTTCCGCCAAAGGTGGAAAATCCGACGACGAGATACTCTTTGGGGTAGCTGAGGATATTTTACGCAAGAACTTTGACACGGAAGCGGCACTGCGGAAATACCCCACCACCTATACACAGAGTATGAAAACGGTATTGGTGCAGGAAATGGTCAGGTTTAACAGGCAAACGAGAAGTCGTGCGATCTTCGCTTATCAACATACAGAAAGCTGTTAAGGTGAGTGAAACTTCAAATAAATTGAACAGCTATTTTTATAGAGTTCTTGTTTGAAGTTTTGACTAAACGTGAAGTAGAATCTTTATTCCTTTAAAGTCTCTAAGGCAGACCGTGGCCATTGCGACGGGAAGTGTCTACGCGCCTTATAGAGAGTCAGAGAAAATGACTGAAAATGACTTACTCTAGGTGTCCAATGCATAGAGGGTCAAATAAGACAGGGACTAACTTTTGACGTCTAAAGAGAGTTGACTATATTACTGGACCCTCTCGAACTTGTCGCTGACTAAAAGCAGTAAATACAGTTTCCCCTAAGGTGGAAATAGTACGTCAGGTAACCTCTGTTATTTCAAATCATTTTGCATTCATCTGTGTGCGATATTGGACGATATGTTGCACACTGCACTTGTGTCTAGGAAATCTAACCGAGACATATTACCGTTTCCTCTTACCCCTCCTGGCCGGGTATATATTTCGCTCCTTTTTCTATGGGGTAGGCAACTTACAGGATGTTGTTTTCGCTGCGTGTTTAAGAATGGGACTCACTAAGCCGGTTTACCCGACCTTTTATGTGATCCCTAAACATTGCTCCACAGGGACTAGTTGTTATGTCCTCTGAACTAGAGGAGGTAGCGAGCGGCATCCTTAAAGGCAAAATCCCTGGTCTGTGGATGAAGAAGTCCTACCCATCTCTTAAACCACTCGGCAGTTACATCAATGATCTGATTGTTCGCCTCAAGTTTCTTCAAGCGTGGTATGACATTGTCACAATGGAGTGCCTCCCGTGTTCTGGGTATCTTGTTTTTTCTTCACTCAGGCCTTCTTACCAGGATCAAAGCAGAAATGCGCCAGAAAATACAGCATTCCTATTGATCTCCTAACGTTTGACTTCGAGGTTCTTGGCGACAATAATTACGAAACTCCACCCGAGAACGGTGTCTATGTTAATGCCTTGTTCATGGAAGGCTGTCGAAGGGATCGAGAAAAGAGAGTGATTGGAGAGACGCACCCGAAAGCTTTGTATGAAGCATGCCTGTTTTGTGGCTCAAACTTTGTAAGAAGGAAGAGATTGTTGACCGGCCGCATTATGTCGCCCCTGTTTATAAAACAAAAGAGAGGAGAGGTACGCTCTCTACCCAGGCCACTCCACTAACTTTGTGATGGACATGCGCCTGCCATGTGATCAGCCTCAGTCTGAATCATGCGTGGTGTGGCTCGTCTTTGCCAGTTGGATGTTTAAGGGAGTGTTACATGCAGTATTAACGTGCACTCAAGAAGTGTGATATGCAGAATTAACGTACAACTTGTATATAGTCCTCATTCAGTTGATTGTGGTAAAGTTTATATCCTGAATTTAGAACCGACTGATTTTGTTTGCTTTATTCAAGCTGGAGTAGCGACAAGTATGGTCTGTACGCTGTAAATACGCTCTTACTTTCTTAGTATTGACAAGTAGTAAATATACTGAGCGGTTGTAGTAAGGAATGGATTTAACAATACTCCGGGGCGTGTATTATTTTTGACCAAGTTGTTAACTTTCCGCCCTCCTTTTACCCCAAGAATTTTTTTTTTTTAACTTTTTGGTCTGAAGGGATATTCATCGCACGACATCTGCAAAAAAACACTTTCACTACTATACTACAATGATTATTACATTCGTTATCATAATCACAATCCTTGCGGCATTCAGAGTCATTATCAAAGAGTTTCATAGGCGGCCCTCCTGTTCTCCTGACGCCAGTTTAAACCGAGAGGCCTGGGTGTCCGGGGTACGAGGCTGGATGAAATGTTCAAAGTGAAATAGAAAATAGTTGGTCTCTTTAACTTATCGTTGATTGTAACCTCGTTAGTGTAGTGATCTTACTCTACCCCTCAATGCCCCGCAAGTTTTAAGATCGTTGATCGTTTCCAGCGCATGCGCAAACCACATTTTGCCCTCGCAAGGGTATGCAACTTTCTGGTCAACCTCGTTCCCAGGGTTCTCTCCTACCCGTCCGTAGGAACGAGGTTGTCCTCAGTCCATTTACGGATTGCGTCAAGTCTGTGAAAAAACTTAGATGTGAAATGAGCTATCTATATTATCATTAAAAAAATCATTTTTATAATGAGGATTGTTTCTGCACTTGGCCTCGTTTTGAAAGTGAGAGTTTTCTGGTAGTTGGAAGTTGTTAAAGGCCTGTTGACAGCCTGAGTATCAGGCGTTTCTGGAGGAAAAAGGGGAAAAGAGAAGCGAAAATCTCCTGTCTCGTAGCCCCTTAGAAAAGCCTGATACTCAGACCAGCCTGTTGAAGGACCAGTGTATAAGTGTCATATTTTGCAACTGTTATTTTAAATAATGGAACGGTAGTTTAACCCGTCCAAGGGCTGGGGGAGCCAGGGCCCCCCCTTTGTGAAAAATAAATAAATAAAATTAAGTACAGTGGAACCTCGATATAACGAAGGGTCAAGGGACTGGCAAAATATGTTCGTGATAACGAGGTTCATTAACTTATATCGAAAATTAAAAACAGCTCGGCGGGCCCTGCCGTCTAATCTTTGTTCAAATAACCAGCCCTAAAGTTTGAATTTCTACTCATACCCAGATCGCACTCTGTTTTTGCAAGGATCCGCCTTTCACAAAGATGGTCAGCAGGTGCGTGAACGCGTTCACTGATCAAGGAACGCTTGTTGCGTATTATTCTTCCTTAGACGTTCCTACAAAAGTGTCTGTTGGAACGTCTAAGGAAGACTGAAACAACCACAAGGGCGTTTAAAGAAAGTTTTCAATTTGTTTCAAATTAGCCTTTTTCCATATATATAATAGTCAAATTTACCTAATTCAGCATGAAACAAGTCGGTAATTCGCGTGTCTAATGTTAAAGAAGGCTTTACTGCATCCATGTGTGTCCATGTGATCTGTTCGACGTTACATATTATCTGTTAACTGTGCCTGTTAAGACAACCCGTTAGGCTGTCAGAGATAATAAGCGAATTGACTAAATTGATGCACGAATTGTTGTTCTAGGATCCACTGCCGTGAGTCTTAGACATGTTTCATTTAAAAGTTATTATTGCAGCCTTTTTCGAGGGCTATCCATATCCCTATTGACTCTTTGTCTCACGTATTACAGAGAAAGCCATGACTCTGTCGGTGTTTTACATTACAATGCTTGGACAGTATGAGTCGATCCCATCGAACCTAAGTGTCAGTAGTCCAAGCCAATTCTCCTCCGATCGAGACTGTGAATATCAGTGACATCGCGGACATAGCGTTTTTGTTTCTTGGAATTCAGGGAAAGTCGGGGGTTTTTTTCAATTTCGGTTTCATCACACTAGTTAAGAGGCACGGAAGCCTAGTTGACGTTTGACGTTTGGTTTATGCTGCTTTCAGTCGTCATTTCACCAGAAACATAAGGAGTACATAAATTAAGAGTGCAGGAAAAGTCCTCAACGCACTGAACGCTACAGACTTTGAGGAAGGTATTTTCATTCAGCTAGCTTTTGTCTATGGCTTGCGTTTCTTGTTCAGGGACGAGCTCTCAATTATTTTTCATATGATGTGACCAAATACATTCATTGCTGGCGTATTAAAACGGTTAAGAAGTCATTACACAGCGAGAACGACAAAACTCTTGTTTTCACGCTTCACAGGACACCAGTCCTAGAGGTACGACAGGCTTTGATTCAGGAGTAAACCATTTGAACACCAAAGAGAATTTTATTTTGGTTGTACAATCCCCGTTTGGGTAGAACTAGTCGATCCGATCATAGCTAAGGCCATCCCCATAAAATGTTTCGTTTCCCATCGCCCTCCCTCTTGTGAAGGTGGGTCGGTCGGTCGGGAAAAAAAAAAAAGAATGAACACATGATTGCATATTAAATCTCACGTTTAGTCTGCAAGATATAATCAGATGGCAACAGATGTATATTAACAGGACTATCAAATGTCTAAAAAGGCTACAAAAACGAAGTATCGATGACAATTTAAGACAATTGGTGTTAATAAGACAACATCGGGAATGGGTCGGTCGGGCGATGAGAAACGAAACGTTTTATGGGGATGGCCGAAGTGTCGGTAGTCCAAGCGAATTAGGCTCCGATGAGATTTGGTGAATAACGCCCAGCTATCAGTGACATCGTCATGGACAAAGCGGTTTTGTTTCTCGCAATTTTAGGGAAACTCCCGGACAGATTTGCATGATATGTCAAACAAACTTCATTTCAGTTTTTTTTAATAAAATGTTTGTATGTGAGGATGGTAGTTCTTTTTACTTTCTAAAAAGGCGAAACAGTTTAAATTTTCGTTCGTTTTGGGTCCTGGAATATTGGCGAAATGACTCTTTTCCAAATAAAGATTTTGCCGAGATTGTTTTGACTATTTTGAGACAAATAATGTAAACTTGCCTTCTTTACACCGGCTAATTTCGTTTCCAGTGAGGTAGATACAAACTTCACATCATCATTTAAAAATAAAAACTAGCCGTGTAAAATGATAATACTGCTAAGCTGCATGTTGACATTTTCTCATTCATATCTGTCAGTGCATCATGCAGGTTTTTAAAATATCTTGGTACCGTTCAGGAGAGAGATCATAGAGAGAAAAGAGAATTTTTTTATATCCACGCACCGACAATTTTAAAACCGGGAACATGGACAAACCGTCGGCTGATTATATTATACAGATATAGCAGCCTCCTCCTCAGGCGCTTCGTTTTTTGCACGGTAGAGGCGAGCGACTGGTGATGAACTGCAAGGGACCATGGGAAGGATACAGACTGCAGGGGAAGCCCGTTTTCTCCTTCCCGCCTTCCTTTGCGCGCAAATTTTCATCGGGAGAGAGACGTCTGGGTACGAGGCAGCAGATATATGCTGCATACGCTAGTGGAATGACTCGTTTTGGACTATTCGTTATCGGTTCCTTAACTCGACACCAAAAATGTACACATTAAGGTATTTATATTAGACATGCATTTTGGAAATCGGTTCTGACTATTCGGCATCCAGTTCTGAATTTGTTATAGCTTTTGTTTCTTGGAATGCAGGGAAAGTCCCAGATTTTTCCACATCTGATAAAGGCACGAAAGGGCGGCTGACTTCGAGGTAAGTAGTTTGGTTTATAAAAAATAAACTCATCTTAGCTTACCTTTTTCTATTTCATATATCTTACTTGAGATTTTAATTTTCGCAGTAATTTTCCTGAATTGCGATTGTGTATAACAGACTCAAAAACTCGACCTCGATTAGTGCGGATCGTTTGTCGTGTGATTTCAAAAGTTGGAAGCAACTCTTTGAAGAGCTCATACAATCAAATCGTTTCGCCTTTACGAAATGGATTCCCTTAATAGAAAAGCTTTATATAAATATTCCCAGTTGATACAGACATGTAACGCCGGGTAGATATTGAAATTAACAAAACAAAAAAACTACGTCTATTTCATGCATGTTAATTAAACTGCGTATTCCTTTCTTGGTATCGTTATCAGCGTACGAGGCTTTGATTTCTGATCGTAAAATGTGGAGAGTCCTAAAGCTTTATTGTACTTCACTGTACTCTTAGAGATAGATTCCTGGTAAGCTCTTGGTAGTGTAGCATACATATATGTTACAAAGATAAACCATTTCCGTTTTTTTTTCTAATGTTTGTATTGAAGCATGTTAGTCCTTTTCACTTTCTTGGAAAGCAAAACAGTTCCAAATGTCGTTCTTTTTGCCGGGTTAATATTGATGGAATTATAGGTTTTCAGAGCGTAAGTGTTATAATACATCTTGGCACCTCTACATTCGATTGCTTGGTTCGTTAACCTTGCACAGCGAAACAGCCGTTGAGACCTTCATAGCAAGTTAGGCGCCACAAACTTCCTCGGAGGAAAGTGAATAGTTTGAGTTCCCCTTAACACCAAGAAAAATTCCCAATATTCGCTTGCGGTCAATAAATCCCCGTGATTTCTATTTTCATACGCGCGCTCGACGATCTTAAAAGAGAAAATAGAGGATATGTGAACAGGCTAGCCTTTCCCAAGTTTGAGAGATTTCTTGGCAATATTTGCTCCTTCCAAGAAATTCTACAGAAAAAAGTTGTTGGTGAGACTTGTATGAAAGCTCCAAACGATTCATCAGTAGGTCATGCTGCCTCGCGACACGTCGTGTATGTTATAGAGCGTTTTCTCATGACGT